GACGCGGTGTCCTCCGTCACGACCGCCGGATTGCAGATCCCGAAGACCATGCAAGCATATGCGGTCACTCTCCTCAAATATTGTGCCCAAGGTGCTGAACCTGAAGTGCTGGCAGCTTGAGCTGCTGGGCCTTGGATGATTGATAGTAGGAAGTGATCCCGCTCGTCCATCCATGCCGATGTGATGAACTCTGAGTTCCTTTGATCGGGCATCGAGGATGTCCTGAAAAGATATCCGGTACCCGAGGAATCACCCAGTCCTTTCTCGCGGGAGGTGTAGATGGCCTTGCCTTCGATGGTGGTGCTTTTGGTGGTGGTGCACTCCCAGCTGCAGAGCTGGAACCATCGTGTCCACCGAAGGTGGAACCACTAGGCCCAGTCTGTTGTTGTTGCTGTTGTGCCCGCTGCGCATCGGCTTCCCTCTGTTGCTTGTCATTCATCATTCTGATAGGTGAAGGATCCCAACCTGGATGATCCGGTTGACTTGGAGGGTTTCTGCCGTCTTTCGGCATCAGCGGAATGTCCCAGCCATCGATGTGGGAGACCTCTGTGGCCCCTTGGCCCATCTGTGTGGTGGCAGTGGTCGTCACATAGTCGCGAATACAGGAAAATGTCCTGTTTCGTTTCTCCACCTCCTCGAACATGCCCTGATCGGCCCTCTCGATGTTGTAGCCCCCCAACTCCCATATGTCGTCGCGGAGGTCAATGGCCTGCTTCATTCTGACCAGATCGGCTTTGATGATCCCGCTCAGGTGCGACATGGATTTGAAGTTTTCCAGTCGCGTCATCCACTCATGTAGCATCTTGGAGACCATGAGGATGGTTTGTAAATGGACGACGGCCGCCGTCCGCTCCAAGCTGAGATCATAGTTCATCGACATCCAGTCTTCCAGGACATTCTGGACGATGATGGTCTTACCCTGGCTGCTTGTCGCCCTGGCATTGTGGCGACGGAGCGCATAGCCTAAGCTGTAGCTCTCCTCGTACATGATGTTGACCAGGAATTTGATGCGGTCTTCAACTTCGTCCGGGGCAGGTGCCTCTCGTTGCATCACTTCAAATGACCATTTTTCCCACTTTCGACGGGCAATCTCCTCTGGGGTGGAATTAATTGGGGATTGTGTGCTGATTGTTGGTGCTTGCACCAATCATACACATATCATGTTTTGTTTTTCTCCATTTTAATTTTCCAAACCAGCATGTACATTTAATCAAATAATAGAAAGCAATCTTATACATGTACATTTCAACATTAAAAAAACTAATGGCTACAAAGCTAGCTTGCAATATGATCGTATGTAGGTTGTAGATGTTTGTTTTTGTTTGTGCTTAAGTGCAGAGCCCCTCCCCGCTCTGCACGGTGGCGCCCTCCAACAAACTGCTATAACCAAGTAGCGGCGCCTCCCATTAGATTACTATCAGGAGGCAATGCCTTCCTTGACAGCTGCAGCAGGAGGCCTCATTGGCGGCCTGCCTTGCATGAAGCTATGCAATGCACACTGTGTTCCCAGGAGGGTTGTTGAAAAAGACCTCCTTGAGTTGCTGGTCGCGGAGCGGGCAAGCTTGCCCAACTCAAGCCCTTACAGGCATACGGCAATCAAACAACTCTTTTTGACAGCTCAAACTTGCTGACCCTTCCAAAGATCTAGTCGTCTCTCAGCCATGTCAAAAAATCATGCCAAAGGCAGTGGCCACAGCAGCGTCAAGACTAAGTCTCCAAATTTGCAAAGCGAAACTCCAAGTGCACGTACAAGTCGTCCAGGCAAACAGCGGAGCCTTGCAAATGCGCTGCCTGGGGAATTCCTGACCCAATGGCTCCCATGGCACTTGCAATGAACAAAGCAGCGCTTTCCACCTCATCAATTTTTCTCTCCAGGCCAGCCTTTGACTTCAAAGCCACGCATTGTTTCACTTTCTTTTGCAAAGCCTGGATTTCTACGTTCTTGTTGTAATAGTCAGCGGTCCATGGCACATCTACCAGTTCATCCTCAGGATAGTTCAATGAATTCTGCAGGATTGTAAGGAACAAGATTGCCTGGACAAGCGCCACGGATCTGGTCCTGTCTTCGACAAAAAATTGCCGGCAGAAAAGCAAACATTCACGAGCGTTCTCAAGTTCATGCTCACTCTTTGCCCTCAGGTTGGGGTCCCATTGCAGAAAGGCACGGATGCCCAGCTGCAGGTCAGCTTTCGCCAGGACACCTTGGGGCTTGGCATTGGCAGGACGAGCTGCTGCCATGTTACTGAACTACTTTGTCAGTTCAAACCTGGATGAGAGCCAAAAACCTGTGAGCGATACAACATGGGAAAAAAAACACGCTTGGTTTCTGGAGAGGCTGACCAAGTCTTAATTTTTGAACTCTGCTGGGAGGCTGACAAACATTGATTTTTGAACTCTGCTGGGTCTAGTGCTTTTCGCGTTTAAAGGATGCCACGTGCCTTGAAAATGCAGTGCGCTAAGAGTCTCAGCACACCAGCACTCATGGCATTTCCAAGCATGTTGCCTAACACGCTTGCTGGAACACATTGCGCAACATCTTTACGCCCATATGCCCCAGGCCACATGCCCTGAAGCAAGAAAAAATCTCGTGGCTTCTAAAACCTTTGGCCCTGATGCCACCAATATCCATGCTTTCCTTTACACCGGCTTGCTGTGAGACAAGGGCACGTGTCCTGCATCCAAGTTGCCTTTGATCCACCTGTGTTAACTATGAAGTCAAGGTCTCGCTTGGCAGGATTTTTTTCAAGAAATTCTTGAAACTGTTTCAAATTCTTGCGGACGGTGTTGCTAAGAGCCAAGCCATCGGCATCATGCGTCATTTCCTGCAAGTTGCGCTTCTCACTTGTGGCGGGGTTGCCTAGGAGCTGCTTCAGTGTGAGCCTCTCCTTGCACGCCAATGGCCACTCAAACTGCTTCACTTGCACATCTCTACGAATGCCGATGACATAGACCCGTTCTCGGTGCTGTGGAATTCCAAAATCCTGCGTGTCCACTAGCTTGTAGTAGACGTTGTAGCCTGCAGCCGCTTAATCAAGGCCGCTGGCATGGGCAGTCAAAAATCAAACAATAATACAAAACAAGAAAAGAATTATAACGCAGCTTAAATACAGGGCTGGCCGTTGGGAAGCACAATGTCTCTCAAATTCTGAATCAGCCAGTTGAACTCGTTGGGAAAGAGGCTCATAAGACCTTTCACATTCTCGGACACAAAGCTGCGAGGCTTATGCTTTTTGATCTGGAAGGGGATCAAGGCCATGAGACTGCCTCTTTGATCTGAAGCACCGTCCTTGCCACCAGCCACACTCCAAGGTTGACAAGGGCTGCCAACTGTGTAGAGATCAACATCAAACCAAAGAGGCTGAAGATGCTGCGTGTTCTCCATGTTGTTCTCCAGGTACTGAGGCTCCACAAATTGAGTAATGAAATTCCTTCAGGGTGATGATAGTAAAAAAACAATTTGGAAACAAACATTTTTGAAAACATATGGGCCTAAATTTCGGTTCAATCTCAGAGGCGTAGACGTGCTTCACGTTGACTGTGGCAGGCAAATTGACTCGCACTGCTGGCCCTTCTGTGCAAAGACCAGAGCAATCAGATGCCAAGGTCACTTCAACTACAGAACTTGGAGGCAGCACAGGTAAGAGTTCGACTGTCTCAGGCTGGGCAGGGAGCAGCGTGTTCTTAGACCTGGTAGCCTTGAATCTGCCTCCCTTGGAGGCAGGTCTTTTCTCAACTTTCCGAGCTGCTCGCTTTGGAGCTACTGCCGTTGCGTGTCCATTGCCCCTGGCTTTCCCCATGGACAGTGACAGTTAGCGACCTAGTGCTGAAAATCTTGCAGTCACAAATCACAAGGGTAAGTTAGCGCAAAAAAAAGGCAAAACCGATGTCACACACGACAACCGAAAGAAATAATGCCAGCTGCTTCAGTCAGCCTGCTTTATGTGCCACTTGCGCTGCACTCCTGGATAGATCTGAGCGCGGCACTACTCTCAAAGGATGGCACTACTCTCAAAAGATCTGAATCTGTTTGCCCCAATGGTCGCGGAGCGGGGCCTCACAACAGTCAGGTCAAAACAAAACTGCCCAGTGTTAGGGTCTTGTCTCCAAGCTGCTCTCTCAGGACTGGCTCAAGTTGGCCAACTGGTTGCGGAACTCGGACAGAACATCGGCAGCTGTGCCGCTGCCACTGCCACTGCCGCTGCCAGTGGCGCTGCCACTGCCAACTGCCTCAGAGCTTCCTTGGGCGCTGGGCTGGCTTGGTGGTGGCGCTGTCGCGGCAGCAGTGGACGCCCTGGATCGATCTCCTCCCAAACCTTGGATAACAAAAAACAAAATGGATATTTAAAACTGGATGTTAATAAGCTAGAAGGAGTTCACGGATTTGAGGCGAGGGTATTGAATATCCAACTGTACATCCGAAATACTTTTTCTGAATCTATATAACCGCAACGATGCTGAATTCTTGGCAAGAAACTGGCTGCAAACTTGGCCTCGTAGACCGGCTCATTGCTGTGCAGCATCTTCAGCATGATCTGACAGACAACCCTTTCCGTCACAGCGGCCATGTGCTCTTCAGTCAAGCAGGCTCCTGCGTACGGCACACGCTGCAGGGCAGCAGCCAAAGCCATCTGTCCGTCTCCGACGCCGGCGTCCAGCACAGCGCAGAGATTGTAGGAACTCAGCAGTTCCAAGCACAAAGTCATGGGGCGGCTGTGCCAAAACACAGGCTCTTGACTGGTCAACTTGCGCGAGGTGACACCCCGGTGGCTCTCGGACTCTCCAGTTGTGCGACCGCCCACAGCAACACGGAACTTTCCAAAGAGAGTGACCTTGTCCTGCAAACACAAAAAAATCAATGAGAGATGATAGACTTAGACGGGTTAAAGTAAGAAAAAAAAACTGATGTCCTTCAAGGTCATGGACCACAGCGTTTGAGGGCTGTCCAGGAGAACATCGCCGATCTTGTTTCCAAAGTTGGAGCCCTTGAAGTGCTTCCGGTTCTACTTGGTCATGCAATCTCCGAAAGACTCAGACGTAACAAGGGACATCTGCTCGATCTGCTGGAAAGTCGTTGTGTTGGCCTTGATGTACTGGCGGCGCTGCGTCAAAGAATCTTCATCATAGCTGACGAAGACTGTGAAAGACTGCTTGGTCATGGCCTCACCGCCTCCGGTCTGAAAGGCTCCCAACCATTTGGGAAGATTTCCGGGCAAGAAAGAATCAAAGTAGATGAACAAATCCCTGCTATGGATGCTCAACTGCTGGTTGTCGCGGTTCTTGATCACAGCCGACAGGAAAGTCTTCAAGTACTGCATGTTCAAGGGACAAACTCGGATGTGAGGATTGGTGATTGCCTCCCCCCACTGGGCAGGATCACAGAGGATACCAACGAAAGACTTGCCAGCGCCACGTGCTTGGGCAGCTGCAGTTTTCTCCAACAGTTCACCCAATTCCTTCTCTGAGCTGGGAAAGACAAACATCTGCACATTCGAAGCCAGCAGATTTCGGGCCTTGTCTTCATAGTACTGGATGCTGTCAAGCAACTCTTCTTTCTTGATCTCGCCAACGCGGGCTTGCACATCCTCCAGGAATGCCTTGTAAGCACCACTGCGGATAGGCTTGCCTGAGTCATCTCGCTGGTTCTCAGCCTCTTCGCCTTGCATTTGAGTTCGGGCTGCTGCAGATGCTTCTGCCCTGGCTTCGTCGAGCTCGTGGCGCAGGAAGGTCTTGAACTCAGAGTAGCGCTCCCCAAGCTTGGTGTCCATGTTGAGCGCATCCAAGGGAGACTTGCCAGCAACCAGCGCGGCTTTCAAGTTGTCGTCGAAAGTAATGCCAAAGACCACGTCCTATGTCTTATGCATGAACGATGATAGCTTGGATAGGGGCAAGATGGATTCAAATACTTCAGGGGCAAGGGTTGCATCATGAAAAAAAATGATGAAACTCACGGTCCTGAACCAATTGCAGAATGTGATCTGCGGAGCGGGACCAGCCGGCTTTCCAGGACAGATCCTTGGGATTACTTGGGAAACCAAACTTTGCTCGGAAAGCTGCGTGCGAGGAAAAGACTTCTTTCAAAGACACGCGGTACTTCTCTGGCAAATCCTTGGCTTCAGTGCTCAGAAGGAAATCTCCAACCATGTAGTCTCGAAACCTCAGCTTGTAGAGCAGAAGGTCGCAATGGCCTTTGCCACCGGGCCTGCCCTCACCAGTGAAGAATCTCACAGACTGGTTTGGATCCAGAAGCCCTGCCACTCTGGAGTCATGCATGTGATGAAACATCCATGCAACCTCTTCTTGCCGGGAAGATTTGCTGCACACGGCATGCAACTTGCTCACAGCGTCCCAAATGCCAGAGCCAGTGCCTTCTTCACTCAAGATCACTTCCAAAATGTGTGGGTGCCGCAAGGCTCGGTCCATGACAATTGAAGAGTGATGCAGGAAGCCTGCCCGAAAAGAATCAACCCCTTATATTTTAAAAATGAACATGTAGATTTGTTTCGTTCCATGCCCGGTATCATGTAAAAAAAAGAAGGATATAGCAGCTACAGATTCAAACAATGTTTCTTAAGCGGTCCTTTGGTGATTTTCTCCGACTTTGCGCTCAAGTGGATCTTGCTGCTATAGAGCTGGATCAAGCTCTCCGGAGTGTAGGAAACGCCCATGGAGTCCCGCTTCTGCATCACATCAAAGATGCGCTGAGTCGGGGTCCTTTGCAGGAAAGACAACTGCGTCATATCCTCACGCAATTGCTGGGCAGCCCATTCCATTTCATTCACGTCAGAGACCACTCGGATCAGCACTGGGCAGGTCAGACAGTGGTTGAGCCACTGCTGCAAAAGTAGGTCAGAAGCACCCTCGGCAACCTTGGCCGCTTCAGCGCTTGCAGCTTCAAAGAACGCCAGAATGCTCTCTTCTGCGCTGAGTCTCTTCCACGTGCCGGAGGCGGGGAAGGTCTTGCTATCCATTTCTTGCTTCAAGATGCCAACCGTGACCTGCTGCGATTCCATGCCGCATGGCTGTGCAAACCAGTGAGTCTTGATCTGCTCGACTGCGCCTTTGTTGATCGGAATCTGGGGTGTCGGTGACCAAGTCTGGTCAAGCCACAAGAGGTTGATCAAGCACATGTACTTCCCATCTCGCTTGAGGCTTTCCAAGGCAGCATTCTCGTCGAAGACCTGGGCAAAACTGCGGTCAAGAGGCTTCATCTGCACCAAGTCCTCCGACACTGCCTGCTCTTTGAAAACACGGACATTCTCAAGGTGAGTGGCCCAAATCTTGCCGTTCAGAGTCAGGGCCTGTGCGTTCACACTACTAGGTTGCTGCAGTGGCAAAGCCAAAGCCAAAGCTTCAGGAGAGCCTGCTGCAGGCACAGCAGCAGCAGCAGCCTTTGCGGCTGCCTTCGCTGCCTTCTGTTTTGGAGCAGCGGCGCCTGCAGGACCACGCTTGCCCATGGCTGAGGCTCAAGGCAAGGTCTGGCAGAAGGCTTTGCTTCGACTACTTTGTCGGCTGAAAACTTTTGGAAAGAAATATAACAATCAACAATGCATCGGTCTCACAAAAACATAGAAGCTATACAACAGGACCATGATCATGAATCCATGTAGACAAAATATGGCCTAGGCGGTGAGCCGTACTATTGCCGCCGGACCGTACTAATGCCGGACAAGACATAAGCGATAAATACGTATTTTCTTGCCATGCCCGCGAGCCGTACTAATGCCGGACAAGACATAAGCGATAAATACGTATTTCCTTGCCGTGCTCACGACCCGTACTAATGCCGGGCAGGCGTGCATGATGAACACGTATTTGCTTGCCATGCTCACGACCCGTACTAATGCCAGGTCAACTTAGAGAGCTTCCAGGGCAAGACTGCCATGTGAGCTCATGGTAAACCATGCCAGAACACGGCGGCAAAATACGTATTCACTGTTGGTGCTAAGGAATGGTCTTCCGTGCCTCCACACGGCGAGTTGTTTTCTTTATTAAACATCTCTGCTGTGTGAGCACATGGTACACCATGTCAGAACACGGCGGCTAAATACGTATTCAGCTGCTGTGTTCGGCATGGTCCAACCGTGTAAGACATGGCGGTCACGCTGCTCTCTGGCATTAGTAGGGGATGGCTTTAGTAGGGTCCTCAAAGCGCACGACAGAACAGTTCAAAGCTTCCTTACAAATCTCATTTCCTTGCCAGGTGGACTGTAGGAGCCAATGATATTATTGGCAGGAAGTATATTACTGCAAAAAACTTCCTTCCAAAAAGTTTTCTCTGTTGCGTGCCATTCTTGGTTAGGAGCACTAGTCTCCTTCCCCAGAAGATAACATGTTACCCTAGCACATGATATAGCTCACTTCATTAGGAGCCAGCGGCTTCCTTCTGTAGGAGCTCTGTCCTCTTATGCTTCCTTCACCGATTTTCGGAGCAGGAGCAACTAAAAACACCGCAACCCTGCAGCAGGCTCAGCAAGCAACTTTTTCCACGCCTTAGCTCACGGCCATCTTCTGGCGCAAGTCGCGGCGTGACACCGGGTGACGCTTAGCACACCCACGCCCAGGTCCAACGACCTTGGCCATTGCCGCTCCCCCAGTCCTGCCATGACTTCCAGTCATCGTCCCTGCGCTCACTTGTTGGCCCTGAGTGCCAGTCCGTCCAGTCGGCCCACTCGTCCTCTGCGTCCTCTTCGGTGTTCCAGCGGCCCTTCTTCTCTTGCTTCTTCTTTTCGAGCCAGACAGGTCTCTTCTTTCCACGGCTTCCTCTGTGGTGCTGTGGCCACTTGGCTTCGAAGTGGGCTTTGTAGAGGTCCTTAGAAAAGAAGCAGGCTACAAATAACGTAGATGAGTACATGACCATCTATAAGCTTACAATTTCAAAATTATGGGGCAACTAAAAAAATAGAAAGATCATTGATTGCATTGGGCCAAGTTACGCAGCCAGTGTTCATGCACACCCCACGGGCAGAGTACGCCATCTCGTTGCAGACCTTGCAACGCCTGAGACCCAAGGTTGGGTTAGCACTGGCACCTTTCCCATTCTTTGGGTTTTTGCTCTCATCGTCCGGCACCTCAATGGGCCTGGTGGCTGTGCCATTGCCAGCAGGCGTGGCAGCCGCATGCGCCCTCCATGGCGGAGACACTCCCATTGCCGGCGCCATTGGCATCGGCGGCTGTAAGCCCATTGGAGCCATTGGGCCCATGGGCACACTTCCCATGGGCACACTTCCCATGGGCACACTTCCCACTGGCATTGTTGGCGCCGTGGGCGGCGGCATCATCATGGGCGCCACAGGTTGCAGTGGCGTTGGCATCGCTGCCGGTGTCGTCACGGGCGCCACAGGTGCCACTGGGGTTGGCATCGCTGTCGGCGGCGTCATGGGCGGCACTGTCGGGGGCACGGGGGCGACTGGTGGCACATTGTGCGGCCGTACCCCGGCGCGCCATAGAACCTGCCAGAGCTCACCGAACGTAGACGGCGAGCTTGGCGGGCCGTCAGGCTCCTTCTCAGGATCCTTGCCAGCCAGCAGGAGCAGCGGCAAGGTCAGGAGCACCAGCCGCAACATGGCAGCTTGTCACACTTGTAGGGGGGTTGAGTGCTCTGAAGTGCAACACGGCTGCAAAGGAAAAATGAGACATATCTCCTGCCGCCCTGAAAGAATTTAGATTCAAAATGTCCAAGTGAAAAAAATGAGTGTGATGAGTACTTGATTTTTTTCAACTCACTCAACTCGACTGGCGGCTCTCTGGGTTATAAAAAAAGGCTTCCTTTCCAGATGTGCATGGTGACTGCTCTCTGGTGAGGAGCCTTGGTGTGAAAAGAATCCGTGGTCAAGAACCTTGCTAGGAGAAAAAAATCCTCCTTGTCAGATAGGCACGGTCGCTTTTCTCTGGTGAGGAGCCTCAGTAGAAACAAGAGGCGTCCTTTCCAGATCTGCATGGCGGCTTCTCTCTGGTGAGGAGCCCCAGTGGGAACAAGAGGCATCCTTTCCAGATACGCGTGGCAGCTTCTCTGTGGTGAGGAGCCTTGTGCGAAAAGAAAGGCATCCTTCCCGGATAGGCATGGAGCTTTTCTCTAGTGAGAACACTTGGCGAAAGACTCCCTTCCACAAAACAAGCATGACAAGAATGATAGAGAAATCAGCGCCTCTGAAAAAAACAGCGGACTTTTTCGACATGGATCTGGCGCAAATCATGCTCAGTAAGTAGCTGCGATGCCGCTCCGGCTGCGGCTCTTATCTTCTGCACAGAAAACAAAATGATCAACTGCCTCGGACAAAGTAAAGACCAAACGAACCGCTTCAGGAAAGACTTCGTCTCCTGCATCGGATCTCAGAATCAACAATTGCCGGGCTCTGCTGACATTCAGTTTGCCAATCATGTCTTGCAAAGATGCTCGGTTGAGCAATTGGAAATTACAATCTTGAAGTTGCAAAATGCTACTGAACTCTGTGCAAAGCTGTGCATGCCGCCGCATAAACGCGGGCGTGACGAAAACATGCCTCTTGGTCTTGATCGCTGGCTTAAAAGCTAGCGCAACACCTCTGACGCCCTTGGATTCGACAAAGTCCTTGGAGGCCAACAAGCCGCCCACCAGGCCAGCCATGAAGCGAACTTCCTCATTGCAATTGCAAGGGTCGGAAACGACAAAGATCCGACCGCTGTGCAAATTAGGGGCGAGGACCGCACTATCAGGCAGAACAGCGTTGCATCCTGGATCAGCATAGATGGGCAAATCGTCTGACCAGGCAGCCTCGGTTGACAGTTGACATCATTGTGCGTTTGTGTGCTGATGTGCGTATATCAATCTGTGTGTGTGTGTGCATGCGTGTGGAAATTAAATAAGAAGAATGTCGCTAATAAATTCAAATTCAATACAGCATCCTAGGAACTGCTTTCTGGGACACTTTGTTCTGGATGACTTTCTGGTCATTGTTCCTCTCTCTTTGAATCTTGGCAACCTTACCTGCATACTCTTCAGCCAGGGCCACCATTTCAGGCGTGATGTCTTCTCGTCGCACCACTCCAAGCAGCAGCTCTTCGATGCGAGCCTTCTTCTCCTTCTCGTTGCTGAAAGCAATTTCTCGCAACTGCTTCTCCCCAAAGACTTCTGCAATCTTGTCCGCTGTCGTCAGCGTCTTTGGCAGTGAAGTCGACGACGAACTTTTTGCGAGTTCATCGTTGACTAGCTGGCATCCTTGCAGAAAACCTGCCTCTCCGTCTTTGAGACGCTTCCTGGAGGGGCTACCCAGCGTCATCAAATTAAAAAATCATGAAAGATTGTATAACAATTGTTCCTAATTCAAAAAAGCTACAGAGGGGGTTGGAGCTGTCCTTTGAATTCCGGTATCCCATCGTTGTACCCGCTTGGTCTGACCACTGCTACGAACTCGTGAGCAGTTCTTCACCCACAAGTCTTTCGCGGCTGCGATCAGGGTCTTCTGATCGTGGCTGCTGGCATCCTGATGTAGGATCAGCAAAGTTTCTTCACCAGTCACATGGTCATCTTGACTTTGCCCCAATTGCTTCAAATTTTGGGCTGCCCCCAAGCCGCGTTCGACACCAGAGGAACTACACGACCAGCAGCCGAGTCTCGCCAGCGCCGGGATGATGGCTTCTGCACTGTGCATCCGGCTCTTGGATGTACGCGCAATAGCTGCGCTCCATGCAGCAAAGTTCTGCATGCCTTCAACTCCGGCCATCTTCTCAGCAATGGCGTGGAAATGCTGGAATTCGAATTTCAGCGCTTCTGAATCGATGCCTATTGCTTCTGCTATCTTTTCTAAACAATTGTTTCTTTCTCCAGACTCCAATTGCTTTTGTGTCCTGGATGAATCAGACAAACTGAAGACGCGCAGGCTCGATACAAGCTGGAAGCTGGGGAACTCACCCTCAAGGACAGACTCAGTGACAACTACATACGCTGCCATTCTCTTGAGGCAATTGCTTTTGACATCTTGCGTGACAGTCCCTGGCCCTCCAAAAGTGCAGCGAAAACCAGCAGAGAGCAACAGTTTCTGCTTGTCAAGATGTTTCAGCATCAGCTTGGTCAAGCCAACATGCAGGCAAACTCCTTCGATGAACAACTTGCGGATCACCGAGCGATACCTGTCGAGCTCATATGGGAGCTCACTTTCGTCGCACTCCTCTGCATCGAATGCTCTTACGACACGGTGGAGCTCCAGGGCTGCATCGGCCAGCATGGCCAAAAGGAGCGCTTTCTCCGGCGTCAAGAAGGCCAATGTTTCAAGACATGCATTCCCTTCAGTTGAAGTTCTGCCTCTGATTTCTGGCAAAGCAGTGAGAACACCGAGGACTGCATCCCATGTCAGCACCAGCCTGGCTAGCACTTTGGATTCCGAGCTGTACCTCTGCGGCGCAAACGCCAAATCTCGGATATTCTTGCTGATGGGAACAAGTTCGTCAGTTTTCTTTCGGAAATTGCCATACAAATCCTTGACAGCTTCACTGTTGTTAATCAGCCTTGCAATGGATTGCGGCTTTTCCACGAAATGCCCAACCACTTCCTTCAGGACAGCATCTGCGGACCAAGGACGGGACAACATCCTCTGAGCGGCATGAGCTCTGTCTTTTCCCAGCACCTCAGGGTGAACAAGGGATTTGGAACTTTAAACTCTTAGAATTTCAATTTCTTCTTTGTAAAAAAAACCTGGGAGCCTTCAAGTTTGGAAACGCTTGGCTCATGACTTCTTGCAATTCCACAACGTTTGGCCCGCTGATTCCGGCTAGGTCTCGGAGAGCCAGTTGTTCGTCAGCTGCTGCGTCTGCTGCCATGCACTCCACTTTCTGGGTGAGATGCCGAAGCAAGGCGTAGTCGGTTTCCTTTTCCTGCTTTCCTTCAGACGTGAGACCGCTGTAACTTGGAGGAGTACTTGGTCTGCAAAAATTTTCCAAAGCTTTCAGTGTCATTTGTCGAATGCCTTGGGCTCCTGGAGTGTCCGGGCTGTAAGTGATCTTTGTCAGCTGAAGAGTGCTTGTGCAGACTTTCAACTTGGAATTCACTGCGCGGAAGCGGACAAGGAATCTTCGGCCACGTGCATCTTGCTGCAGGGATACACACAGGGCATCTTGCATGAAGGCACGCTGCGCTTGCCTGATTGCTTCACTCAGGCACCATCGCATCATGTGAACTTTTTTCCTATTGCCAACATCTGTGATATCAGCAGGACAGTCATTGGGCTTGGAATGCTCCAGCACGGACATCCACTCAGCATGCGTCGGACAAAATCCTTCCATTTCTGGCAGTGAAACTTTGCCAGATGCCAGGCTCACAGCTGTTCTGTGAGCAGGTGAGTCTGCATGCTTTCGAAAACGGGCCATGCGAATCTCTCCACTGCTCACTTCGAATCTTGCGAAATGGTGTCTACTGACGGGAAACTTCGACATGACTTCAGGGGACACTTGCTGAGAATCATGGCAGAGCCGGCAGCCAATGCCCCACTGGCCAGTCTCCATATCCACTTTGGAATCTATCCATGGCAGGTCTTTCTGCCATTGCGTTTTGTAGGTTGCCCATTTACATCGGGCACACTTCTGGACACCTGAAGAACAAAATTTCAGATGTGCTGCATCATCATAGCCACCGACTTTGAAGTCAGGCTGCTGCTCCATCACACCTATTTCGCTTGGATTGAACCCAAAAATGCGCAAAGTCAGATCAAGTCAAAATAGATTGACAAACAAACATGTCGGCGTGCAGTTCTTTCACAGTGACAAACTTGTCCCTTCCAACCAGAGCCCTTTTTGCCTTGATTTCAAATAGGGCCAGGCTGTGAGGGAACTGAAGCCATGAAAGCGCCAAACAAACAGCATTTTTTGCAAGTGATAATTGCGTGGTCTCACGGCGGTTGGGGGTGCAGGTGGCAGTTGGCAAGGAAAACAACTGATCCACTGTGAATTAATTATTTACTAGTCTAGTCAGAAGCACTTGCAAGAAAGCTAAACGTCGTCTCTCCTACATGCCGAAGTCTTTTCGGCAAAGAGCTACAATGGTCAGGAAACATGCCCTCGTCCTCGCGCCAGCGTTTTCGCAAGCATTCATGATATTCATCCTCGGCATCTTGTTCCTTCTTGGCGTCAATCATCTTCTCTGCGTCAGAAGCCATGGTGAATCCAACAGTCTCTTTCACCTGCCAAAAAGACGCAGGATCTGAACAAAAAAAACTGAAAGGAAGAAAAACAATTGTCACACCCAGACCTTGTCATCTTTCAGGTGGCCCAGGGCGATCTTGACTTGAGAAAGGAGCCATCGAACCTGACCATCCTCTTTGAAACCATCTTTGGAAAGAAGCGTCTCCAACTCCTCTTCACCTGAGATGCAACAAACATTTTGCAAACGTTTGTTGGGCTTGGGAAACAACAGCATCAAATGAGGGGCAGACGTTTCAGCAAGGTCTGAACTTGGAACCTGAATCTCCGCTGCACCCATTGCCAGTGCTGACGGGCAGGCATGGTGCAGGATGCCAGTGACGCTGTTTGGACCAAAAGCTCTTTGCAGTCAAAAATCATCATGTTTCAATCAAAATGCAAATCAATTTCTCCAAGACATGAACGGTGTCAAGCCCCTTCCAACCAATGCCTTCTTGGAATTCAAGCAGGAAGTTGTGAGGGGCTAATTTTAGTTTGCAAGCCAGCAGAAACATGAAACGGTTGCGCCACAGGGTTGTTTGATATATATATATTATATATCATGCATGCATGTTTACCCTAAGCATGTCCACTAGATAGCCAATGATACTACAACATGATTGGAACCGATGTAAGATAGTAATATGAAAAAATGTCTACCTTGAAGGCCTGTATGCATCGTGCAAGCACCAACAATCAGCACACAATCCCCAATTAATTCCACCCCAGTCCTCGAAGTTCGTCCTCTTCCGGATTTGGTAACATGAACTTCCATATGGAGGGTATGTTTGGTTCAAGGATCCGAGGTGTGTTGGACTCGTATTTGCAATCTTGTCACGTAGTCCCTTAACCGTGATCTCCTTGTTGATCATACTATTTTGCCCGGTGTAGTGGTCCTTGAGGGTGTCCCATAGTTCATCTATTCTAATCGCACACTCAAAGGTGCACAAGAGCTGCATGATGCTCTTCTCCTCTGGGTTTCTGGCGGCCCCTTCCACCAACTTTGATAATCGGGCCCCTTTGTCGATGAAACTGATGGCAGACATCTTCAACTCATTCTCATTGGTCACTTTTGACAACATCTTCATTAGCAACCTGATTGCATGAGTTACGAATACTCTGCCACTTCTATCCATGACAAAGGCTAAGGCCACAACGACAGGAGGAGAAATCTTCACTCGATCCAACCATTCGTCGAGGTCCTTATCCTTGTAACCCCTGAAGTTTGCCTCCTCATAGGTTGAGAATGGAGCAGGAAGGTTGTGCTCTTGTTTCTTCTCCTGAATGAGGGACAGGGTTGACTTCAGTAAGCTGATCCCCTTGGCCGCTGATGGGATTACAAGGTCAGTTCCAGCCATTGCGAAGACCGAAATGAGGCTAGGAGAATCCGGATCCGTCAAGGTGCACCAACGACGCAGGTAACAGCCTGACTTCACCTTCAGTCTACCTTCAACGGGATCCGGATCCGCCAAGAGTGATCCACGAAGTGGATACAGCCTCAGCTTCACCTTCACACCGCCTCGTCGGGTGATGAAGTTAATAAATAACTGTTCATTGATGGTCTTCACGTTGGTGTTGCATTCATAGTCATTCATGATGACACATGCACATGACTTCGACTTATAGTAATCTTCCTCTTCCATAACCTTTGGTCGAAATCTCCTTCCATAAACGTTGTTAATCAACATTTGATTTGTGACACCACGAAGGATGCATCTGACAATCTTCTCGGTATATAATTGTGTTGCACGTGTTTCTCTACCCGCACATTGACCGTGAGTGTGTGAGCCATCACATTTTTCATGCAAGTCAAAGAACTCAACTCCCCATGATACGATCCTCCATGGTTTCTTGATTGCGGTCCCAACATCTTTGAATTGTGATTTCAAACCATACATGCATCCATCAAAGTCATGCACAGTCGACTGGGTCCCACTGATCAGAAACTTCATTCTCTCGTCATTCCAATAGTCGCATCCCCGAGGTAGTTCCAACAATGCCATGGCATGCAAAATATGTACACGCTGCAGACACAATGTGAACTCTTCCCATAGCTCCCAATATAGAAGTGCTTTCATTCTGATGTTGTGTGCTGTGACCTCACTCACATTTTTGTTTAACCGATTCCACGTTGAACCACCGGTGCAAGGTCCCGCAAAGAACACGCAGTCACTAGGGCCCCTGATGCAACGTCTCCATTTCGCCCTTCCGTAGTTGGACATGAGGTTGTCATCTTCGGTGATTGTGACCACATGCATCATCTTAAACCGACTTTGTTTGTGAATCTTGGTGATGATACTTTGCGTTTCAGCACACATAAGGAGCAAGCATGGGACATCATCTTTCATCTCATATATGTTGAGCGATATGACAACGTCATTGAGTATCTTCCCGAGAAAATCAGCATAAGATTGCTTGAAGTGATATGTCAGAATCTTCCCATTCTTTCGATGTAGTGTCATCTGGATATCCCAATCATTTTGTTTTCTGGTCTCATGCTTCAACTTGTAATGATGGGCTATAAACATGTCATCCAATGGAATGATTTTCATGTTCCCATCAAGGATACAGGTGACCACGGTGTCCTGGCACGATGCCCTGTCCTCCACGTCAGATCCGCTGTCCATCACATCTTTGATGTCTGCATTGGATATGATCTTGAAGGTAGTGGTCCCTGTCCAAAATTCATTTCTTTTGTTGGTCTTCTCGATGTTATTCCCCGCCAATCTCCATGAGTCATGGATCAATCTCCCACTTGACTGAAACACTTGGTTAGTTTCCCGTTCATCTCTAAACCGTCTCAGCTTACATGGCAGAAAGTCAGCCTCTTTGGGGGTAAACATCTTTCTTCTTGGTACTTTGTGCACTCTCGTCAATGTTGTTTCATCCTTCCATATCCATTCATCTTGATCACATTCATTTTTGGATATCTTCTTTCCCTTTCTTGACGACGTTGATGGGTTATAGGCTTTGTCTTTTGATACCCTACCAGCAATCACATCACCACCGGCAAGTATAATTCGTCGTCGATTGGGATCTTTGTTTTCTGCGGGATATGGATCATCATCGGAGCCCCCGACGGAGGAAATCCCATTGGAAGACTACCCCATCCAGAACTCCCCCCATGAACAACTCGAAGGAGCGTGTTGATCACCCGAGCAGTACCACATGGAGCTGCATGAATGGTTGTGGGTTCATTTCCATGGGATTGATGACAAAATAGTTGACCTACCCCCACAGTTAACTGAGGATACTTCAGGACTGGAGTCTGACGAGTCGGCACCGCAACAGCATGGAGCCCTTGTCGTTCTGTTGACGCCAGGTGTCCCGGTGAGACAACACCAGCTGATTGCCTAGTAATCACCGAAGGTGATATACTAAATTGACACGGATGGTATTGGAAACAAGCTCGTTCTACCCATTGATCAAAACGATCTTGTTGTTGAACAGGTGGAACTCGATCCTCAACCTTGATCCATTTGCCATGAGAAAGTATCCAGGTACTTCTCAAACAATCATGAGGCAATGATACACCAGATGGTCGCTTTCTAAAGAAAGTTGGCGTCTTAACAACCAATATGGGATCCATACCAGGTAGTTGTTGTAATTGTTCTTTACCAGAAAGACCCTTCTGATACACCTCAGGTGGTAGAATAGGTATTTCGGTATACGGAAAATTTGGAACATCTTGAGTTTTGGTTTGAAACACTTGTCGGACAGTGGTATCAACATCCGTGGTGGGTGAGACCATATCGAGCAGATCTTTTGTACCGATGTCACCAGGGTCCAACAGGTTGATGAGCATACATGCTCTTTTCCATGCCAACGGATTCTTGAAGCCTTTGGTGTGAATGTCAGCGGCCATTTTCGAGGTCACCTCATACATGAGTACGTAGTTCTCCCGAGTAAAATGTTCATGGAGGGAAGTGATGGCTATGCCATGGGTCCTCTCAAGATGCCGCATAGTGGGGTTACGACCCGACCTGACTACACCGATCATGCCCTGATTGTCATCATGGAACAATAATTTGGGCGATTTTCCCGTCAGCGTTTCCCAGATGCTCATTGCGGGCAAACCCATAGTACGGAGGGTGACATCGGCTGCCACGATTTCAGCCTCAGGCGTCGAATGGCTTACGCATCCTTGCCGTTTGCTGCCCCCGGACAAAGGAAACCGTGTGTGGTTGCCCTGGATATGCATATGAGACCCTGAAGTTGATCTCAAAGACTGTGCACACCCTGCAAAATCAGCATCAGCAAATAAAGACAATGTCAATTCATTGAACTTGTCCCCAACCCAGCCGGTCATTCTTTTAGATAGGCTGGAATTCACGTAGCACATTAAGTGATACAACTTTGCATCGTCATCAATGGTCCACTTTGTTACATTCCTGGCCAGGGAATTAATGGAACGAAGCAGATCAAAACGAGCAATCGCCGCGTACAGCAGCTTCATCAACACGCTAGCAGCGTGTGGCGCTAAT